GCTGAAAACGTGTTACTTTTAAAATATTATGTTGCTACTTAAGCCAAAATGTTCTTAGCCATCCTAAGGTAACCCTCTTTTCATGTTTTGATCTGCAGTGGCTGCAAAGACCTCTACTTTCATTACCTCCAGGCCGAGCTAATACTCTGATTAAAGCCTAGACTATAAAGTGACTGTTCAGCCCTAAGAGTCAATGTTTAAATCTCTGGACATTAGTGATGTTACAAATAGAGAAGGCAGTTCTCCTACATGTGAGAGAACTTCTCAAGAAGATGTTGTGTTGGCTTCTACTTTGAGGAAAAAAATTCCAGACTTGTATCTTACAAGACTGAGTTATGTCAGAAGTATGGGTTGAGATTTTCCAAGGAGCATTGTTCTCCTATAATTTGAGAATAAAAGATTTTATTATTTTTACTGTTTAGTCTCCTATCACTTGTGATAACTGTTTTATTGCAAGCTTACGTACATTGAAGTCTTAAAGTAAGGGATGTTAGTTTTCTGAATCTATTTGCAATTTCACAGCACTCAATCCCTTGTGGAAGTGTAGTTCTCTTTTTCCGTGCTAAACAAACCCTGTTTCTGCATCTCTGAATCTAGGTGGATGCGTTACGATTACGTCTGGAAGAGAAGGAGACGATGCTAAATAAGAAGACAAAGCAAATTCAGGAGATGGCAGAGGAGAAGGGAACTCAAGCAGGAGAGATCCATGACCTCAAGGACATGTTAGACGTGAAGGAGCGCAAAGTTAATGTTCTTCAGAAGAAGGTGAGACTGTCGAGGTCTGAGTCAGATATATGTCTCTGATACATCTCAATTTCTAAGTCTGTCAAGGAGTCTGAACTAGAATGTATACATTTTGGAGATTAATGATTGAGTCCATTCATGTAATGGGAAGACAGTAGCTGATGAATTTCCATCTTAAGTTTTGAAGAAAAAAACAGAAAGAATTCAAAGCAGAGGTTGTTGTATATGTTGTTTCTGCTTCTGTTTCACTATTAACAATAACTGAAGAATTTGTAGGAGGGGACATCATCTGAAAAACCTGTCCTTTCACACCCAACCACCTTAACAACAGATTTGAAGCATAGGACACTGGGTGACTATGACTTCAGTATGTGATGAAATGAATGAGGAGTTGTATTAGTAGAAGCAATTGGGATGATTTCTCTGTAACTTGCTGACAAAAGTTCAGGGAAAATCTTTGTGTAACTTTCATTCGAAATGCTGTTTTATCATACTTAATATTTCTTGGGAACTGCTAGAATAGGATAATCATGGTTCAGACTATACTGCGTATCTTTCTGGATAAGAAAATGTAGACCTTATCAGTGAATGGGGGAGATCTGGATAAGAAAAAGTAGACCCTGTCAGAGAAACTAGAGAGGTATCCCAAAGGGCATTGAGTCCTAGGGCAATGAATGTTATTATGGATGATTGTTTGCGAGTTGCAGACAATATATCCCAAATTGCTACTATACTTGGTGGAAGGAGAGAAATGCATGTATCACAATAGATTTTAATTTACAAATATTTTTTCCTCTGTATCTTTAGAGAAGCCACTCTTGGAGCTTGTATTGAATGTATTAGGCTGTGAACGTGTGGGGTTTTTTTTCTAGACCTTTAAGCAATTCTGTGGAATTCTTGTGATTTAAATAGTTCAGAATATTGATTAGTTTCTGATGCCTGGTCAGTGCCTTTCCTTCTAGTATACAGCTATGAATCATGAGGATTTAGGTCATCTTCAGTTCTCTTAAAGCAAACATCATGGAGGAATGGAAGTTCAGGCATGGAGTTTAGCCATAAGTCATTAATAATTCTAGAACAGAGCCCTAATTCCCAGTCTTCATGGTCTCATTTTTTGACTGTTCATCTTTTTAGAAACGCTTACAGATTTCCAGTTGTTGTGCAGTGCTTTCCTTTTGTATTCAAAATTACTCATTCACACTCCAAACATGAGCTGAATGTTTAACCTAGAAGTGAGGAATCTGACATTTGTGTTAATGTTAAATGTCAATGAGGATGTTTTACTTCCATTTACTCTTACACTGTTTTTTCACATGCTTGCTTATTTGCTTCACTTAACTCTTTAGAACGATCTTTCATGGGTTATATTTATAGGCAGTGCTAAAGGTTTTCTTTTTACTCATTTTTTATACTGGTTTTCTTAGGACCTAAGCCCTTCTTAAGGACTGTTTACAAGGGCAGGTAGTGATAAGACAAAGGGCAGTGGTTTTAAACTAGAGCAGAGTAGACTTAGATTGGACATGAGGAAGAAGCTCTTCACCATGAGGGTGGTGAAACACTGGAACAAGTCACCCGGTGAGGTGGTGGAGGCCCCATACCTGGAGACATTCAGGGTCAGGATTGAGGAGGCTCTGAGCAACCTGATCTAGTAACAATGTCTCTTCTCACTGCAGTGGGGTTGGACTAGATTAAACATCCCTTCCAACCCAGTGCATTCTGTGATTGTATGCTTTGTCCAAGTGCTGTCATTCAGTTCAGAATTTTATTATCTTTAAAAAAATGTGCAGCCTTTAAACTTTTGCTTCCATGGATAATAGTCTTTTTATTCCTCCCTCTGATGATAAACTGGTGAGTTCAGACAGATCAGGTTTTAATCTATGTATTCTCATTGAAGATCTGGAATGGTACAGTTTAAAAGTATCTTCAGAGGTCGTAGATAGTATTTTTTTTTACTGGCTTAGTTATCTGATATTAAATGCTTGCTTTAAGTTTATCAACATGATTTAAGTTGTACTTAGACATTTTAATTGAACACAGTGAAAGACTATGGAAGATGTGGAGTTTGAAAAAAGCTTTTCAACTTGAGTAGTGTTAAGAAATATTTTTCTGTAGATAGCTGGAAGCAGCAGCACATAACTGCTGCTTGCACTTATGAGGAGGTATGGGGTGCAGGTGTTGGTATATTGAAAGAATTTAACCAAATTAGGAATTGAATTAGTAGATATTATTTAACCAGCTTTTAACAAGTACTTTTCCCTCAGCTTATGTTCAAATTTGAGGATATTTTTGAAGCAGGTGTTCTATTGAACTAGATTTTGAACACTAATATTTTTTTTTAGTTTTAGGTAAAAAGAAAATTAAATTTGTAACAAATTTGACAAGAATTTATTGAAAAATCATTAAATTGCATATCTTTTCCATTTAGGAAAAATTGTTTACTTTCTTTTGAAGTGTAGAGACATTGCCTCTACTCGTAATGCAGCCATAGCCAAGTGTTATGTGGCTATGCTGGGCATTTGGTCTTCTGTTCATATTTTTTTTTATTTTCTGTGACTGTTGTAGATGTGTAGTCACCTGTTCTGATGACGCTGACAAGAAATTGTTTAGTGTATCATTTAGTGTAGAAAAAGTGCACTATACTGAATGTTTGCAATTTCTCATGTTGAAACAAAAATCATTTAAAAGGCATCCTTTACTGCTGGGTCTCTGTTTGAATTTGTTGATGCAGGCCACAGCATAGTTTGTTTTATGAACTATTAATATCGTTGTTCTATTGGTTAAAGGTGGCGAACTAGAAAGTATACTTTCTGGTCATTCTAAAACCCAGATGAAGAAAGCAGTGGAAGTTTACTGGCTGATTAGAGATCAAATAAAAGACAGAAGAAGTTTATGAACAACAAAGATCTGAAAAATTAACATGACAATTGGCATCACTACTGATACCCAGTAGGCATCAAAATACATCTTCCAGGTTGCTGAGGAAACCACATGCTTCACATTTTAAATTCTGGAATCTTTCCAGTTCTAAGCTGCTAGTGTTGCTGCTGGGTGGCACCTTTATTCGAGGCAGTAGAAAATAGGGCAAATGCTAGAAATTTGGAGACTACAGAAAAGAGTTTTAGCTTTAAGCCTGAAAATTTGATGGAAAAACTTAGTTTTATAGAGCTTCAGGATATTTTTTCTCATTTCATTGAAAAGAAATCTTGCATAAAATCTGATTTTAAGCTGCTAGAACTCCAGGCAAGGAGAGAATGTCAGAAAAGAAAACAAGGACCATGCTGGACAAATTTGAATTCTGAACCTAAAAAACATTAAATTGTACTTCGTTATTCTCGTTGCCACATCTGTCTATCTGTGCTGGTAGACCAGGATGAAAAGGAGTAGGAAAAAAAAAATCAATACTTTGCTATCAAAGCATTTTAGAGAAATAGCATTTGGGACAAAAGATAAGTGGGGGGTGGGGAAGCAGCGAATCAATCACCCTTGCTTTGAGGAGAGGTGATATTTTGTCTTGGGGGGAGCTTAGCATACCCTTCATTGTGCAATGCAGCTGCAGGCAAATAAAATGTAAGTTTTAGTGTCTGAACATAGCAGTGGTTTTTGGCAGCTCCTCATGCACTATGTGATATTTGACCTGTGATAAAGTAAAGGAAGAACACAAGAGTTTTTTGTTTGGTTGGGTTTTTTGTTTGTGACTGTGCTGACTTGTTTAGCCAGTATTCAGGAAGACTCCAAATGCTATTTTCCTGCCCTTTTGGATAAGCAGCATTGCCTTTCTCCAGAGGAAATAAATGCCCTCTGCTTTTCAAAAAGCTTAGAAATCAAAATGCATATCTTATGCTTCATGGTAAGAAGTGCTGTGTGACAAGAGAAAGGGACTGCAGATGAATTTGTAACTCAGTTGTTTAAAATCAGTGGTGATCATAGTTACTGCAGCAGCAGTGTTGGTTTAGTATTCATGACTTTCGAAGTTCAGTGTCTGTACTTTAAAGATTATTTTCTTTCTATTCCCTCATCTGTGAAGTAGGTACCGCCTCAGACAGCTCCTCTGCTTCAACCCCAGAGCACAGAGAAGGAACTGCATTTTCAAACATCTAATTCCATTTGTGGTAGTTTCATCCTACCTGGTGTGACCTTGAACTTCCCTACCAGATGAATGAATATATGGTTTTCTAAGAATGAAGCACAGGATGGACTCTTAGATATCCCTTTGAGATATCCCTTTGAGCAGTAACACTGTAGGAGGTGGCCTGTTCAAACGTGCAGCGTGTGCCTGAGTCTCTGGTTGTGCAAACTACACAGAAAAGAACAAAGTAAGACTGTCCCAACAAAGATGGTCCATGTGGACATTTACAAAGTTGGTGAGCGTATGCCCTCTTGTTTAAGACTGGATAATTTTTTGCCTCTGTAATACACCTGTGGGCAAGCTTATTCTCTGTTTTCCACCTGTTGGAATCATGAACATTGAAGGAGGAGCACCATACAGTGCTCCAGGGTTGTGTTGGTCTGCTCATCAGCCCAACTTCTGGAGGGAGGCAGAGGGAAGATATGCTGGGCTTTCTCCTCAGCTGGAACTGTTGAAATAGCTGCTTTTCTTCAGGAGCTCAGTGGTTTAACAAGCAAGGCAAATACAAGAGTATGTCTGTAAATACCTCTCTCTGTCAGCAAAAGCCATACTTCTGCCCCTTTTACTCCGGGTCTCAAGGCATGCCACTGAACTGGTTCCAAACCCAGTTCAGAGATTTCAGACACCACAAGAAGACCTAATGTCACCACAGGCTTGTGCCAACTTTATTAAAACTGACAGATGTGACCTCAAAGATGTGTCCTGGAGGGTCATGGAGGACTTGTCCCTCCATGTCCCTGAAGGGATATCAGACCTCTTCTGCTAGTGCTTTATCTTGCATTTGAGGCTTTGTTATAGGCTTGCTGACTACCACTGAACATAATAATAAAGTTGAAATTTGTGGCTTTTAGAAATTTCCAGAAGCTGTTCTGTCTAATTTGTTACCCTGTGTCTC